AAGACAGGATATGTATTTCTCCCAAAAAATTAGAAAAGGCCACCTATTTAATTCTTTATTTTCACTTTGATTCCTTCTCTTTTAATCTCATCATTTCTTAATAAATTAGCTTAAATTTACCTATAATTTGATCAAATAGTAACTAAATAAAAAAAACACAAAAAAAGTTTTGTGAATAGTTCGTCCACAACACTACATAAGAGGATTCACGATACATTTTATAAATTCCTCACACATTTTGGTTTTATTTTTAATGAAATATTAAATACATAGACACTCATGCATATACACACATATTTAACATAAAAAGAGTTTTAATTAGGGCTCTAAAATGTGTTTTTATTAGTTTCTATAATTTAAAGAGAAACGTCTGTTATATGATTAATATTTGAGAGAGACATTGACATAATTGAAAACTTGGGAAGACAAATTGAATTCATTTATTAAATATTGGTGCTTGAATTAATTTATGCATTGGTAAGAAGAAGTCAAAACTCCACTATGATAAAGAAGGGGAGAATCAGAAAGGAGCATTATTTTAGATTCCTGAACATAAAAAATAGTACAGATCGGCAAGAAATTATTGGTGCACTTAGACATTTCATTGGGGCTGAAATGATGAGGGAAAGAAACCCAATTGTTCAGTTCATGGTTAGTGTTGTTAATTATGCCTCATAGTCTTCTTCTTAATTTATATATTAAAGAAATTAATGAGGCAGCCCTGCTCTCCCCTTGCGTTCTAAACTGTGTAAATGAACATAATTATGAAAATTATAACCTCACACCTCAAGATCATCTTCTTCAATGCTTGGATGGATCCTGTAATTTCATGCTGATCAGAAGTTTCAGGTGTTAGGTTGGTTGTCATTTCATGTAAGGTACCAACCATTTACCATTGACTATTGGTAGCCACCATTGTTGAATGAGATAGAGTTGGTGGCCACCATTGTTGAATGAGCTAGAGTTGGTAGCCACCAATGTTGACAACAAACCAAGAAGAGCTTCCATGAATGCCTATAAATAGAGGCATATATAAGAGAGCAAAATGAGAGAGGAAGTAGAGCCAAAGAGGTGAGAAATGTAGGAGAGAGTGGGCTGCCATTGCAGCACAAAAGGAGAGAAATAGAGTGAGGTTGAGAGTTGCTCAAAGAGGGGATGATTCCTCCTCCTCTATTGTTGTAAATCTTGTACTCTCCTACATAATGTAATGGCTTCTCCCGTGGATGTAGGCGGTTTTTCCGAACCACGTTAAATATTGTGTCAGTGTGCTTGGCCTCCTATGAGCAAATAACAGTACATCACCGGTCGAAATTCCCAACAATTGGTATCAGAGCGTTCGGTTTAAAGTGGTGTTTGATTTTGCTTAAAAATGAAAGTTGTCAAAATTGTGTTTTGACCATACCACTGTGTAGAGGAGGAAGAGACGAAGCCACTGGTGAAAACCGCGTCGAAATCGGACGTCGAAAACCGCCCCAGAGCTCCGGCGGGGTGACTGTCCACGTCATCAGCCACGTCAGCAGTTCTGCACAGTCATCAGGCACGTCGCCTGACACATCAGCACTCTGGCCAGTCAAACTGCCATGTTATTAGGCATGTCAGCAGTTCTGCACAGTCATCAGACACATCACCTGACACATCAGCACTCTGACCAGTCAAACTGCCACGTCAGATTTGGTTGACCCTATAGGTCCTACGTGGCTGACACATCATCACAGCCACGCCAGCTCCCTGGGTTTTGATCCTGTGTGGCGGAGTCTACGTGCAACCGGTTCTGAGATTGAATCTGGGCCGTTTATCAGGCCAAAATTGTTTTGATCAAATCTTAGCCGTCTGAAGTGCGATTTGGACGATTTCAGACTTGTTTCCAGCTAATTTGATCGTTCCGGATGCAATGGTACAGTCCGATCATTGAGATTAAGATCAGAAATGGCAGTGATGAATGATTAAAGAGAGATTGCCCGATTAGGAGGCATCTGATGGTCATCATGGTGGTCGATGGAGCTGAAGAAGAAGAAATCACACATGTTTGCCCAATTACATGTGTTGAACTATTATATGGGAATTTTAATTGCCTTGAGGGAAGGCAAAATTGGGACACTCTAAACACCCGATCATGTGGACAATTTGAGGTGGAGAGTGAAATTTGATGAAGACCAATCTTGACGAATCTGAGCACTGGTAGTCTCGCCAGATGTTGAGAAATCAGGTAAAAAGCAAGGATACCCCAGATCACTTGTAAAGGAAAGCCGCGACAAAGCTAGCAAATGGTTGTATATACGAAAAGACAGTACGATGGATAGATATGGCCTAAGAAGTTCTGGCTAGGAGATTGGGTTTTAAGCGGGACCATTCTGACCCCTCCAATCTTTTCTGGGAACTTGCTTAGTGGAAGGATTATCCATACGGTACTATTTTCGTATATGTGACAGTTTGTTATGAAACTGTTGAAGACTAGCAGGATGACGGCACAAAGGAACAGTTGGGTTCCGTATGATCAAGGATCTGATGGAGTGGTGATTTCTCCAAGAAAGTTAGATTCGGTGATTGTAATTTCTCGAGGGGAGAATTAATGAAGACCCTGATAATGGTAGAGAAATACATCAAGGAAATGAAGATTGGCACCCTATTTTGACTTGGATAGATGTTGTGACAGGATGAGCTGCTGTCAAACATAAGCAAGGAATAGGGAGAAATCTGGAGAATCAAAATTGCACGAGAGCACACGAAGATTGTGTAGGAGTACCCGGAGGATCCAACGAGGTACTGTAATGAGACAACAGGTGCAAGGAAAAGAAGAGTTCCCAGATGAAGCTCAGAGCAGAGACTGTATGAAAAAGTTGTACAACAAGAAGTCTCTTGTGCTCTTGATAAAGGCAACAAGCAAGGACCTTTCCAATACATGCAAGGATGGAAAGATGAGCTGTTGCAGATGCACCTAATTGAGGGGGTGCAAATGCCTGTGATAAAAGGCGAAGACACCAAAGAGAGTTGGTGTAGGTGGAGCTGTCAAGTGTAATGATGAAAGACATAGAAGCTCCAAACATAGAAATCGAGGTGGAGGATTGCGAGGAGTATACCGCAACTTTCTCTTTCTATGTGATCAGTGGCAATGAACTCTCCCAAGTCCACATGGTGATAGAGAATCTTAGTCACTGGAGACATCCCCGATGAAGGAGGATGTGACTGCTTTATGACGAACAAAGACACCTTAGACAGAAGGTGTATGGGCCATGATATGAGTCCAATTTCAGACCGTCTCATGAAGACAGGCAGAGACACCTCAGGAGAAGGTGTGAGGACCGTGATATGAGTCCAAGTTTGGACCGTCTCATGACAACAGGCGGAGACACCTCAGAAGAAGGTGTGAGGACCGTTATATAAGTCCAAGTTCAGACCGCCGCATGACGACGAGCGGAGACACCTCAGGAGAAGGTGTGAGGGCTGTGGAAGGAGCCCAGTTCAGAACGCCCCAGAGCCAATGTGATGGCTAGGTATGAGTGGACAGATGGATAGCAAATGAAAGGGTTATGATGAGTATAGAGACAAATGCAGGATTGGCTTTCATGGATATTGCCCCCATGCTAAAGATCAATGAGCTAGAAGACATTTGCCTTGGACAATAAGTGGATGACTTGTGGAGCATTAAGACGCGACTGCTATGAAGGAGCAGAGGGCATGCGCAGGTTCCAGGAACAAGTTGACTCTTGTCAAGGTGGTGAGCTCGGTAATGGCATTGTAATACTCAGAGTATGAAGACAGATATAGATCAACCTTTTATGGGCTGCTCCCATAGTTAAAGGTGGAAAGCTACCTAGACTCTTGAGACTAAGAGTGAGAGACTCATGGAGAAGTAAGACGTGGTTCCTAGGGTGGAACAGAGGGCAGGCGCAACTCCTGGATGAGTAGACTCTTGGAAGAGTGGTGAGCTTGTGATCATATTAAGATACTCAGATAATGACTGTCGCACTTGAAATATCCGTTTGAGGGGGTGTTGTAAGCCTTGATGTGAGGCTTGATGAATCATTTCGGACCGAGCATGGTTGAAGGGGAATGTTGTTCCAGAGACAAGCGTTAACATTATTCAGATGTGATGTGGCAGACCATCTGGTTATAGTGATCCTTTTGTGTAAAGGTGTGCTTTGGTTACTCTGATGATTGAAAGGTTTGGCGAGTACCTATAAACTTGGTCAAAGATGCTCTCAGAATGGAAAGCTTGGAAGAGCTGCAAGATGCAAGCTTGTGTTGAAGAAGCAAGAGGACAATTGCCTCACATGAATGGCAAAGGGGGTGATTGTTAGGTTGGTTGCCATTTCATGTAAGGCACCAACCATTTACCATTGACTATTGGTAGGCATCATTGTTGAATGAGATAGAGTTGGTGGCCACCATTGTTGAATGAACTAGAGTTGGTAGCCACCAATGTTGACAACAAACCAAGAAGAGCTTCCATGAATGCCTATAAATAGAGGCATATATGAGAGAGCAAAATGAGAGAGGAAGTAGAGCCAAAGAGGTGAGAAATGTAGGAGAGAGTGGGCTGTCATTGCAGCACAAAAGGAGAGAAATAGAGTGAGGTTGAGAGTTGCTCAAAGAGGGGATGATTCCTCCTCCTCTATTGTTGTAAATCTTGTACTCTCCCTATATAATGTAATGGCTTCTCCCGTGGATGTAGGCGGTTTTGCCGAACCACGTTAAATATTGTATCAGTGTGCTTGGCCTCCTATGAGCAAATATCAGTACATCATCGGTCGGAATTCCCAACAATTGGTATCAGAGCCTTCGGTTTAAAGTGGTGTTTGATTTTGCTCAAAAATGAAAGTTGTCAAAATTAAAGTTGTCGGCTCCGATGATATTTGGTCCTTAACAGTTTCAAGTGCTACCACTAAAGAACCTGGAAACAAAACAAAGCCCATAACTTCATCTCTTATTTTACAAACCTGCTGAAATTAGAGCATTTAACTGGATAGATTGGATTGTGTTCGATTAGGATTACCATTTCATGATAGGACATCGAGCCCAAATTTGAAATATCTTGGACAAATTGCCTTTTCGTTGCTTGTATTAGTAAATCTATTTACTTATTGTGGTCTCACTACAAGCATGGATTTTTTTTTATTATTGATATTTTGAAAATCATGAGCTTATTTATATTGCTGCATTTGCACTGCTGTAGTGCAGGAGATATACGCCGAGCTAAGGGTCTTCTAGCCCGCTATGGTTATTTGCTTCATGAAAGCTGCAATCCTTCCATTTTGGTATATAACTTATTAATGAAGGTTGAGCACTGATCTGTACTTTTGGGTCTTATGGCATTCCATTGAGAAACAAATATCTAGTATTTGTTATCATTTTAAACATCTTTCTCTTTGAACTTTCAGGGATATATAAGTGCTGGCTGTCCTCAAGATGCCTTGCCTGTGCATGATGAAATTTTGGAGTTAGGATTAACCCCTGACAGGCTCACCTATAGTACTCTGATATCTGCATGTGTGAAGGCTGGGAAATTGGATGCTGCAATGCAATTCTTTGACAAAATGAAGGTCACAAGCATGCATTTGAAAGGTCAGTTTAGAGCCTCTGTATACAAGAAATTAGGTTGTTGCTCAAGAAGTTACGTTAGTTGAATTAAATTATTAAACCCTTGATCTTTTTCAGGACAAAGCACAAAACTTTAGTCGTGCCAAGCTTTATCCGGGTGTTGTCACTTACGCAACATTACTTCAGGTCAGTGAATTGTGCATATATACTTTATTTTGTGATGAGGCGTTTGTGGAAATTCGAATTTGAGAATTTAGAATATTTACCAAAGTGTTCAAAAACCATTTAACAAAATGGCGTGCTTATTTTACTGCTGAAGTGGCCTATTGATCTTCTTGTGTGTGAGTCGGAGATTGCAGTTAAAAAATTTGTGTTTAGCTGTTTTATTGCTTTCCTTTCCTCTGCAGGGCTTTGGTGGTGCCAAGGATCTCCTCTCAGTTCTGAAGATTGTCTCTGAAATGAAAATGCATCGGAATTTAGTTATTGATCGAACTGCATTCACAGCAATGGTTGATGCGTTGCTAAACTGTGGTTCCATGAATGGTATGCCACATTTGGATATTTACTCAGGGTTCTGCAGTGCTTATCAATTTAGGTTATAAGCTGCATTGGAATTGAAATTTGAATTAATATCAGCATCTTGTAACATTTAAGCATTTAACCATATATGCATGCATGTATACTTTAAAAAAAGTGCTTTCTGTTTTTATTTTTTCATGCTGAATAGTACCATCTGATTCATTTTAATGGGTGAAGGCTACACAAAGTGTAGTTGAACTTCTACTTCTTTCACTTCTGACGCTAGCTGTCACACCCCTCTCCGAATTACTTTGGTAATGCATCTTAGTATCTTTGATTATATTCACTTTAGAATTGTGCTTTAAGTTAGTTAAGTAAACCAACCTCTCTAATTGCTTCTTATTGTTACCTAATCAATTAAATTTACCTACCAGACATGTATTTATAAGCATACACAACCTGCTGTCCATTAAACAAACTTATATGACATCTTGTTGTCTTGTCAACCTGCTGTCCATTAAACAAACTTATATGACATCTTGTTGTCTTGTCAACCTGCTGTCCATTAAACAAACTTATATGACATCTTGTTGTCTTGTCTTGATCATTCACTTCTATCTTACATCTTTGCACATAGCTATCCTATTGATCAATTACACGCTAAAAGAGTCCAATCATGATACGTTTACATGTGTAATGACCCATACTCAAAAGCTAACCTATGAAAGATACAATAGCATCACTATGTTAAACTTCAAGCTAGGACTCCAAAGACTCTTCGGTTGGTAGCCTATCTCTTGAGCCCTCTTTCAACCTCATCTTGATTCTATGAAAATAATTTATCAACTACTAATGAGATAACCCAGTGAATGATTAAAGAGATAAGCATGGGAAACTTCATAAGTTTTCAACATGTATGCCTAACATCATATCGACATAATATTTGCATAAGAAAAAATGTAAGACAATTGAATGTCCATATCTCATATCCATATACTACTCAATGGTAGCATATGTAGCATATAGGTGGCCACTATTTCATGTAAAGCAAGCTTTCTTCTTTTCACATATCATGTGCAATTATATCAACACAATATTTGGGCTAAAACATATCTTTCACTTTAAAAAACACATAATGCTTCAATCTTTAATGGTCATACTCTTATTTAGCAATCATCATTTGAAGTTTCCATTGAAAACTAAGGTTATGCATATATATATTCTGAAAATCCGGCAAGCCTTTAAAGAAATTCTTCATACATAAAAGCATCCAAAAACAATAGGATTTATGCATACTTATTAATTTCATCACTCGCCATAAGCTTTAGCCCTTTACCCCCTACTTTTTCCTTTACTTTCTTTTCTTTCCTTTCATTTATAACCTCACAATCTATCTTTCGTTTTCTTTCTAACAATTCTAACATATTTTTATATTATGAAATCAAACTCATTTCAAAGAGAGAAAATACTTGGGTAATTGGATACTCTTAATGCATATAAAACTCACATGCTTCGACGCTAAATTGCTTATAGAAATTGGAAAGAAAACCAGAATGTCAAATGCATGCAGCAACAAGGTCTTTGAAAAAGTAGAAAACTATTATACTTATCTATCTACGTTCAATAAATTTAAACGTGCTTATCAGTAGCACATACTTAACCACCCCCAAGATCAAAATACCTACACTTTGGAATTCTGAAAATGAAAGCGCATGACCTGTAAAAAAAAAAAAAAGCGATCTCGTTGAAGCTTGTCGCTGCTCTGGAAAATACAACAAATCCACAGTATCAAAAGATGCTCTGTGTCTGATTCTAATAAGAGAAACCTGCACATAAATGTTTGACAACAAGCCATATCTCAAAAACTTGCCAACTTAAATAAGAAATCTCTGCAAAAGAACAACTTCATATACATACAAAGCTCATGAAAACCATACAACAACTTGAATGATGATCTAGTGCCCATCAAGAAGAACATACATTCCATCCCCATTGTATAATCAACAAGTTAGATTTCACCATGTCAGAATGCTCATTGGCCCTCTTAAAACTACAGTACCATTTCTTCACCACCATTATAAAAAATAAAATAACATAAATGTCATGTTTTCCAATTCTCCCTTGATTTGTTTGATTTTCCAACCATGTAGATAGAAGGATGAATTATTTAAAAAAGAGAAGCCTTTGCTTGTTTTGATAGCAGAACATTAAATTATTTCACTTGACGTTTTTGAACTAAGATAATTTCATTTAAAGATATTATTTTAAAAAGTGAGGCCTTTACTTGTTTAGAAAATTAAAGATTTGAAATAATGTAAGTCGACTTAGTCTAATACAAAATAAATAGAGAGAGAGAGAGAGAGAGAGTAAACGAAGGAAGAATCAAGATTTATTATTTAGGCATGCATAGAATTTAGTTTCTGTACACACATTTTCATCGACTAAATTCCATAAAGCAAAATAGAAATTGAAAAGAAAACTAGAATGTCAAATGCATGCAGCGAAATAAATAAATATAGAGAAAGAGCAGGGATTAATAATAATAATAATAATAATAATAATAATAATAATAATAATAATAATAATAATAATAAGAGAAATTAAATGAAAGAAGCTGTTAGAAACCTTTATATTTAAGAATAGTAGCCTCACGGTGAAAATGCTCTAACCATCAAATATGATAAATTAAATAAATAAATAATACATAGTTTAATAAAATGATAGTAATAATAATAAAAATAAAAGAAATTAAACTAAGGAAGGAAGGAAGGAAGAGATTAAATACGTTCATTTATGTTTAATTGAAAAACGTTACCTTTCATACACCTAATAATATAGAGAGAGAGAGAGAGAGAGTATGGAATAATAAAAATAAAAGAAAATAAAATAAAGGAAGGAAAGGAGAGGTTAAATACCCTTCATACACTTAAGTGTTTGTATGTTCGGTGAAAATACTCCTTACCATCTCAATCCTTCACCCTTTACATAGCGACCCTCCTTTTGAATGTAGTAGCCATCAATTACAATATCTGGAATGTGTTTAATGTTAGAAGGCCACTCCTCCTCCCTCTCCTTTCCCCATCCTCTTGCTCTTCCACTCAGCTCTTCACTGCAGTAATCGATTATTAATTCTTGCAAAGAGGGAAGGTAGGGTATCATCCCTTGAGATTCAGATTCAGATAGCGACTTCAATACTCTGCAGTCAGCGATATGTAATTTCTGAAGAGAATGCATCCCCTGAACAGGAAGTGGCAGAGACTTCAATCTTGGACATTCGTAGATCGATAGCTGTAGAAGAGAAGAGAGATTTTGCAGCCCTACTTCTGGAACAGATTCCATGTCATCAATTGAATACATCTCTAGATTCTTCAATTTGGAGAGAGGACGGATAAATGAAGAAGAAGAAGAAGAGACTGGTGATTTCATATTCATTGTCTGCTGTAATGGCATTGAACTAGTCCTCCGCAAATCAAGACCTTCATCGAGAGTTGGAAACAACGGCATTGAAGTCAGATTTGGACAATCAGAAACGCACAAGGAAGAAAGACGTGGAAAACAGAGCATTTTTATTGTTGACTCATCACTATCAGCATTCATCTCATCTCTACTCCATCTCTTCCACCATCCCTTCAGTCTAAAACAACCATAGATAACAAGTGTCTTTAAGGATGGGAAAAACGTCGACGCTCCTCTTCCTCTATCCCCCTCACTATCTATGTACTCCAAATCATCCAATCCCACAATACTTAATTCTTCAAGAGAAAGGATTCCATCTAAGGGAGGGATATGCTTAAGTCTTTTGCAGCTTTCCAGACAAATCCTTGCAAGATTTGAGATATTTGAAACCCAACTTGGAAACCTCATACCTCCATAGCCTTCAACTCTCAACTCTTGAAGACTCGAGTTTGGCTGGAGGCTTTGCAACATTTTATCATACAAATCAATATCTGAATCACTATCCAGCTCTGGGTCCCACCGTACGGTCAACGACTGAAGATATTTTTTATCGATCAATTTAGCTCCTTCAAATTCTGATATACAAGACCCCTCGTATCCTTTGACTATTATTTCTAGGCCACCTCTCAATTCATTTAATATTCTCAACTCATCCAATCCACCTATAATCTTAGATTCAGGACTCCTATTTCTTGCAACCACAAAACATGACAATGTCTGTAGACTAGTTAATTTCCCAATCCCACGAGGCATATACTCTAAATATTCACATAAATCTTCATCAAGAGTGCAACCAACATCAAGATGCCTCAGATTGATCAGCTTAATAATATCTCTTGGTAGTTCCTCAAGGTTATCACAACCATTGAGCTTGAGCACTTGCAAATTTACCAGACTGGTGACAGAATTAGGAAGCGCCTCCATCTCATTATTTGAAAGATCAAGATATTTCAGATGCTTGATATTTTCAATGAGAGGTGACACTTCCTCAATTCCCAAATGACTCAAAACAAGCACACGTAAACGCCTAAAGTTTTGACAAATTGACACCCATGGCCTCTCATCCCATGCGCCACCTTGCAATAATATAAGTGTTCTTAGACTTTTTGCAATAGGCAAAGGAATTGGAATTTGTTGGGACAAATCCAATTCTGTGTCAAATGACACGTGCCGAGTCATTTCACTAATCCTATTTCGTCCACGCTCCACTTTGATGCTCTGAAAACCAGCGACATAGGTTGCAAGATCATGCATAAAATCATGCATTTTGCAACTTTTTATGTTCCCAAATCTATCCTTTTCCACTTCGTGAAAGAAGGACCTCCATAGTAAACTCTCAAAGCACTTGAGACCAACAATCTCAATACGCCTACGACCTGAATTTGAAGTGCCAACAAACCCTTGTGCAATCCAAAGTTGAATCAAATATTTTACATCTATCTTATAACCTTTGGGAAATAAGCTACAGTAAGCAAAACAATGCTTCATAAATGATGGAAGAGCATCATAGCTTAACTTAAGGGTCTGTATAATGTTATCTTGGACCCTATTTGGAAGTTCTTGTTGGATAAAGGGCAACCACTGGGCTCTATCTTTCAAAGACATTAACCTCGCAATTGCCTTTATGACCAAAGGAACTCCACAACACCTCTCTACAATCTCTTTTCTAACTCTCTCATCTACATGACCCGACTCCTGGCCTTGAGGAAATGTCTTTTTTCTAAACAGTTCCCATGACTCATCTACAGACAGACCTTTTAAAACATGTGGTTCTATTGTGCTTGTGAATTTGGCAATTATATGAGAACGTGTGGTAACCACTATCTTACTTCCTACTGCATCACGTGGTAACAACTCCTTCAAACTCTCCCATTTTTCACCATCATACTTACCATCCCACACATCATCTAACACAAGAAGATACTTCTTTTTGTCTATTTTCCCTTCAAGCATTTTTTTCAGACTCTCTAACTGATCATCAGAATCTCCAGTACCTACAGCCCCTTTGATAATCTTTCTAACATCTAAGCTGCCTGAGACAC